CACTTTTAAGATTGAATTGGATACGAAACACATTAATTGAGTTGTTTAATGAATAAAAAATTGATTTTATACAAAATATATCTTGAATTTTACCTACAACTAGCATAATAATTGTGTTGGCAAAATTCATGTCGAAAATATTACAAATTTAACTCAATTTCAAACTCTTTTCTTCTAGAAGTATATCTATTTATTTACCAACTCAAAGAATTTGGGAAAATTGATCATATTTAATTTTAGTACCAAAGTGTCTAATTAATCATATTTCTATGGTGACGAGTCAACATGCATGTTTTCTTTTGCAGCTTCAAAAGCTTCAGTTCAGTTAGGAAATGCCAAGACATTCCGCAGGTCCCTCGGCGCTGAACCCATCAACAAGGTAAACATTTCCCAAAGCTGGAAAAAAAAATTTGCTATAATTTTTAAGACTGATATTATTAAAACAGGAACCAAGCAGCGCGTCAGCTAACATAAGCAAACAATACAGTCACTGAAAAGCGTACATTCCGAGACATTACGACTGACAAAAGTAAGGCCCATGGTATGGTAGCAAAAGCACACTCTTTTTGGTTTGCCTTCATAGCAAATTAGAACCGAATACTAAAACAATATTTTGATATATCCTTTTATGTATATGACCCCGCGTGTTGATTTTATGTTATGATTGGGTTGCTGCGTGTTGCTACTCGTAATCGGTAGATAATTATTAATCATTTACAATTGATTGAAATGTTTCAGACTATCATCTTTTCTGAGCATTAATGTTTCAGGGAGACCAATAGGGCGGAATAGCAGGTAACACTAATCATCAGAATAAACAACCATTAGTTTCTAATCGTCAGTTATGGAAAGATTGGGTTCCAGAGGCCGGATCCCTTGTGAATCAAGTCACGAGAAGTACAAGAATCGGTAACAGGCCATTGGCCTATTTCTTCAGTGCCGACTCTTCTATTCTATTCCATTTGTTAGGTAGTTCCTTCCAAGCGACTTTGGGATGATATACCAGAATTTCTTGTATCCCGGCCTTGAATTTGTCATGCTATATTGGCGGGCTGCATCGTGACCTATTTTCATGCAATAAAAACACTTGAACTGAACTTCTTTACTATCTTCAGCCATTCCCTGACTGCGCTCACCTGGAGTATCAGTCAGACGACTACTGGAGATGCCACATCCGTGGCATGGCGGGTGTGATGGCGCACATCAGCGGCACCTGCAAGATGGCTCCAGACTCCGACCCCATGGGGGTGGTGACCCCGCGGCTTAAGTCTGACTTTGCTGTCTTTATGACACCATTTACTTAATATAGACACCATTTACTTAATTTATTAACCATTTACATTTACTTTCAATGTACGATCATGAAGATACGAGCATTGAGAATATAAAAGAAGAATTCATTTAAAAATGTCTTGCGTGTTGATGAGCGATACTTGTGCATTCTTATGACTCTTCCACATTATCTGCTCACATTTTGCTGTAGCCATAGAATTCTGGACCTCATTTTATATGCGTATCTTTGAACGCATGCATATTAGCTTTCTAACCCATATTTTGAAAGATGGAAAAATTGTCATGTAATTTATTATTTATTATTTTCCTAGGGTTCGCGGCGTCAAGAATTTGCGTATCATGGATTCGTCTGTGATGCCTCAAATAGTTTCAGGTGAGCAGATTGTATATGCATTAATTAATACGGGTTGTTACCGTCGATTGGATTGACTAACCATATATCTTTCTTATAAATTTTTTATCATGAAGATTTCATGTTTAATAAATTCATTATTTATACATGGCTTAACTTGCCACATCATCCGACCATAAAGACGACAGGCATTCAATAGATTGTTATATTATTGAGCACTATAGCATAGGTTAGTCGAATAACAAAACAACATAAACAGTATATGTTATAAGAACAAATACTTGTGTTGATACATCGTAACCTTAAAATTCTAATCTTTCCTGCAACAAGTGTATTCGCAACGTATGTTTTGCATGTGTCAATCATTGATGGTAAATAACACATTTTATCACAGAATAGATCCTCATGTTATTTTTACACCATGAGATTTCTTTGGCATGTGTCAGTATTTTACATTCATATTCCCCCTTTACACGCACGCATATGCCGCATTTGTTATGCCAACGAAAAACTATCTGCCTTTGAATGAACTGCAATGCAGTAGGTTTCTTCATAGTGAAAATAATTAATTTTCCCTACATGATTGTTATTAGAAAGCTGTAGATTAATTCTGAAAAAAGATTGAGAAGCATTTACGTGATTTTAAAAATTATGTATTGTTCTCTAGCAATAAATATGCACAAAAAATAATGCAAATGAATGAATCAAGTATTTGCTTGAATGGGTTTCACCAAATTGTCGCGAGCAAGCAGGGAACTAGTTGGGATAGCTTCGTTACAGAGCTAACTGAACTTGTATCGAACACTAAATTAGTAGTGTGAAATGAAAAGCGACTCGTTCAAAATTGCATCCTGTGATTACGCAAGAAAATGCTTGATACGTTTTTCTTAGCAAAAACTAGCAATTTGTTTGATTGATTAATTAGCGGTGTAATGTTCTTTCAGGAACTGACATACCCACGAGGCAGAATGATCGGCGGGACGGGCGCCATTAACCTGATGGTGCACAGCCGCGGCAACCCACAAGATTACGACAATTGGGCCCAGTTAGGAAACCCAGGCTGGGACTGGAAAACAGTATTGAAATACTTTAAGAAATCTGAAGACTACCGGAGTCCTCTGGAGCCAAAAGATGGTAAGATGGTAGAAGCCGGAAGATGGTAATCTCTGTAACTCGATGAATCCTGAACAATAATATTAAAAGGGCACGTAAGGAATAGCATGCCTCATAGAGACGGCTTTCAGTTATAAACTATATTAAACTCAAATTATGCATATTTTACAGCCATTTTTCTTCTATATATCAACCGTTGTCCAGGCCAATCGTGCTCAATTAGCTGGTAACTTGAGTTACTCTCAGGAGAGAGTTGGTTATATAGTTGATCATATGTGCGAATTGTTCAATTTTCTCTGGAATAAAATAACAAGCATTTAACGTTGTGTACAATTAGATGCAAGACGGCAATTAATGAACTTCGTAATACGTTGTGTTGTAATTATGACCTCCTTGCAAGCACGCACAGACTTAGTTTTCATGTCTGCAATTTATCGGTCGTTTTCTATCTAGAATTTATAGTTATATACGCCAATCCGTCAAACTAGGTACATAATGGTTGAACTTAATTTTTTATATTATGTATTAATTGATTCGCAGCCCCGTTCCATGGGATTGGAGGTCCTCTGAGCGTACAGAAAGTTGGCTGGATGCCGCCCGTTGGTAAACTTGCCATCGAGGCCGGCAAGGAACTTGGACTTGAAGAAATTGACTACAACACAGACACAAAAATTGGTGAGAATAGGTGCTTGTACAGGGGGAAAATAGGGCATTCGGGTACAATATTAAAATGCAAATAGCGATTAAATATTATATTACTGGCCTTGTGTAAATGGTTACAGGTTCCTTTCATGGCCAGTCGCTCACAACAAGACTGTAATTGCGCCTGAAAGTTTTACTGGCCGCCACTGCTGTCCCCATTCACAAGCGCCTAAATTGACGATCAATAACGTCTATTCTTCACATTCCTTACTGATGTCTCCACAAGTACATTATATTCCGAGACCTCTCTGATTACAGAACTGATTGTGCACCAAAATTTGTGCTCTCAAGTAATGATCAATGCAATAAAAATAATGCAGGGACACTGGCTAAAATAAATGGTTTGACGAGGATAAGTGGTTCTAAAGATCTCGGCTCTTTATTCGTGCGAATTTTCATAAACAATAAGATTTCGAGAAAAATATCTCAAAATAATATTTTTACCAAAAGATTACGCTTGTGTATCATTATTATTATTAACTAAGTTATAATATACGTTAGGAAGCAACATATTACAGCTACCACTTCGTGATGGGCAACGAGTTACATCAGCAGACGCCTATTTGATGCCGAACTTACGGCGCCAAAACCTGAAACTGCAAATCAACTCGCAAGTGATCAAGGTGAGAATGTTCTCAGGTTTACTGCGTCCTTTAAAAAGGAAACAAGCATTTGAAAGTGTAGGATTCTTAAAAAGCAGGCTCTCAAACGAAAGAGAAAAGGTCATCGTAGGTCTACTTCGTTGAATACAACAGGGACAATATTTTGACAACTTTTGCAAATGCTGTTCTAATGCAGCATTCAGCTATTTCACATTGCTGTGAATATGTATAGAATGTATGTCGTTGCAGACGGAGAATATATAATCAACAGACAATTTTCGACATATACGAGGCATGCTGTAATGTATATACGCGTGTGCATGTATTTCAAATATATTTAAAAAGTAAATATTAGTCACAAGTATTTATTCACTTGAAACCTAACTGCACAAACTGTAAAAAACATGCGACGTAAACTCATGGTTACAGAGCGCACATTTTCGTATTGCTTGTGAGTAAAAAAAACTTATCGCCAGGTCTACCACTTCATGATGATTATTGGTTATCTCGAATAATAAATTAGATAGGATCTACAAGATACCTTATAAATGTCTTCTGATTGAAATAATAATCATCCAATGCAGACTACAAAAAACTTCAAAATTTTTGAACGAAATCGTTATAAATGTGGAATAAAATATATTAATTAAGGCTTGACGATGCGCAATGATTTTTGTTTCAGATCATCCTGAATGATGACAATGTTGCCATCGGAGTAAGATACGTTCATAGAAACAAGGCAAGTGGTTTAAGTGATAGATCCAATTGGTTCCAACTTGTGCAACTTGTGAGTAAAATTAACTTATCAAAAAAATAATTAACTCTAATACCAAGAATGCAATTGCATGAAATTCTTTTGCATCAAATACTTAAAATATATATTTTTCAATTGACATTAAAGACTAACTGGCAGCTATTTAAAGGATGAAGCAGGGACTAATACAGTTACAACATCGACTAAACTTCAAAAGACTTGCGTATTGGGCGAGAGAGGTACAGCTCAGTCTACACTGTACAACATTAATAAGTTACTAGAAAATCAGTTAAATAGTCCAATTGAACGTAACATAAATTCATTATTATAAAATGTATGTGGTAGAATAATGAGTATTTTTCATTTTTTAAAGCCTATTTTCCGATGATTTTTCGAAAAAAATGCCTGTGAAATAGACTTTTGATTTAGCAGCCGGAAGGATATTAAAAAAATTTAGGCCTCTTGCCTTCTTAACTGCAATTTGATTAATTCTTTATTCGCAGTCTCATATCATTTTCAAAAAAGTCTATTCAGGAATTAAAATTCACTTATGTGGTCATTTATTTGATGAATAGGTTACTTGAATATTTCTATAGCTCGTAAGAATTCGTGAGCAGGAAATTTTGGTAACATTACCTGATTATGAACAGTTTTTTTCATTACCGAGTAATAATTACTTATCGCTTCCTGATCAGGTGAAGCGAGCGTTCGCGAGGCGAGAGGTGATAATATCAGCAGGCGGCGCTGACTCTCCCAAGCTGCTCATGCTGTCGGGGATTGGAGCGCGGGAACAACTTGATAAACTTGGGGTGAGTGTCCCATGTATATGTACCTACAAGTTAAACGTATATGTACATTCATACGTTAAGTTAAGTTAAACGTATATGTACATACAAGTTAAACTCTTAAGCAAGTTTTGTTAAAGACCAGGGATTAGTTTTATTAATTAGCTTCTTGTTAGTTTTTTCAATAAGTCGCACTAAATTCTTCGTAGGTGTTGGAAGATTGAAAATCAAATTACCGATAGACATTTTTAATATTGAGCGACGTTTCGAATGTACAACATTCATTTTCAAGTTAAAGACATATCGAACCCGGTGGAAGTCTAGTAGCTACTTCAAACTATCGTCAGTCATGAAAAGATCCGGTCAAATGACACGAGTTTAGATCTATGAACAAGGCACGAAAAGGAAAAGAATCGGCGACAGGCCACATCAGGCCTACACTTCAGCGCCGACATCACTATGTTATGTTATGTTATGTTATGCCTTCTGTATACGAATTTATTCGTAACATGTTTTTCTCTAAATTCGTTTTCGTGGAATATCGTGTTTTCCGTCCAATCTCAAATTACGTAAGAAGCTCATGTCCATAAAATCAGCACAGTTTGTGCATTATGGCTAGCAATATAGAACCTGATTGAAGTGGTAATATTTTTACAAAACAAACTTTTCGTTAACGGCAAATTCTTTGAATTGACGACATCTGTTTCGAGAAATAGTATCAAATTCACATTTAACTGTCGTCAAGCTCATTTAGTTCAGTCGCTAGGATAAATGGCATTCCAGCAGTACAATACATGAATATACCGCAGTTTATTAATTATTTTTGATGAATATATTTTATATATTGTATATTGGCGGTAAGGACTAAACATTGAAGCACACTGCATACTATTCACTGAATGTGATATAAGCGCATTGTATAATCAAATAAGTGAATGAGCGAACCTTCGTTATTTTCGGCATTACTGTCGTTGACGCCCAGTATATGAGTATATGAATATACCGCAGTTTATTAATATATATTTTTATGAATATATTGTACATTGGCGGTAAGGACTAAACAGTGAAGCACACAGCATACCATTCACTGAACGTGATAATGGCGCATTGTATAATCAAATAAGCGAATGAGCGAACCCTCGTTATTTTCAGCATTATTGTCGTTGACGCCATTGTGCATGCGTGAGCACATGTGTGGGCGATAACAATGTGCGCCATCATGCGTGTTGGCCCTGATCCATGCGCTCCTGCGTACGACCAGAGGTGGGCAGTAGCGCGCTACATGTAGCGGGCGCTACTACGCTACATTTTCAGTAGCGGTAGCGGCGCGACATTTAAGCAATTGTAGCGGTAGCTGTAGCGCCCGCTACATTTAGAGCATGTAGCGGTAGCGGTAGCGGCCGCGACATTTCAAAGTAGCGCTGCCCAGCTCTGCGTACGACCTAATCACGGATATGCGTTCAAGTGCACTCCAATGATCTCTGTGAGACAACATGATTTGTATGAAAAATTCCGAGTTTTGTATATATTTGCTTGTATTTACATATTTGCATTGCAAGTTTTTCAAGTATAATGCAATTTCTACAGAATTGTTGAATTATCGGGGTAAGTATATATGAAACTACTAACTTCTGGGAAATTAACATCATTTGAAATCCCGTTCTCTTGAGAAAATTACGTATTCATGAGTGCTGGATTGAAATTTTGTTTACAGTGATCGAGGAATATTTTATTAGAGCCTAGTATTTATTAATAACCTGTCATTCTCGTATTTTTTCCTCATTCGGTTCAAGTGCTGGATGAACGGCAAAGCACATTTCTCTATTTTTTTTCTTGTGGCGTCAATCCGGTTTCTATGCTCTTATTGAATATTTATTTCTTCATGGCGTCATAGTTCACATTTATATTACAAAATAGCTTTAAAGTTGATAATTTGATAAGAAAGTATTAGTGTTATTCTATGTAGCAGTGATTGTGGCGTCAATCGAACTTCGAGGGCACGTTACACAGAAGTTTACTAGCCAGCGATTAAATAAATAGACACGAGAAAGTATGAGAACGGATATAAATGACTAAGCACTTAATACCTAGGCTCTACGAAATAGTTCCTTCTTTAGGCGTCGACGAAAAACCTGCAACGAATGACCCTATATTAAGGAAGCAGGTAAAGTGTTCCAGGTTCTGGCGGCGGCGACCGGGAACGCTCTGTCGCCGCCGGTATATAGACGTGTAGATGGAACGACGAGGTCTGCTGTTGATGACCCAGTCGTCTTCTAGGAGGCAGATCCGACACGCGCTGCAGACATTCTGCGAGAAATCGCACACGTTCCGTGCAGGCATCGGAACGTTAGAACAGCGACCTTGAACTGAGTGCGCAGCCAGTGAATATCGAACAATATCGGCGTCACATGGTCGAATTTCCGCATATTGCATACGAGTCGCGCAGCAACGTTCATTACGGATTACATTTTATTAAGTGCTGTGGTCGGAAGTCCATAGAGTGGAGCATTACTTACCACAGTCCAATCTGGTCAGAATGAGCGCCATCACGAGGGTCTCGTGGACCGCCGCTACGTATTCGTCGCGGAGCGCCAAAATAAGCGGTGGTGACTTTGGCAATGTGATTGTTCATGGAAATTCAGTAGAATGTCGAGGTTGAGAACAGAAGACGCTGACATGACGAACTCGTTGCCCTCGCGAATAGGGTTGACCGCAAGCAGATGCTGGCGCCGAGCAATCGCAAACCAAATAAAGTTGATTTATGATGCTTTAAGCTGGATCCGGTTACAGCGCATCCAGCCTGAGACGGCATCTATGCAGGCACACATCCGGATCTGCAACGCTACAACGTCTGTCGGGGCACCGTATAGCCATAAATTTGGGGGGTCTTCTGCGAACATATGCGGATTCAAACTATATGAATCAATTGTGTGCAATACGTCTACAGTGGATAACAGGAAGAACACAGGCCAAGGACTGAACCCTGTGGGACGCCGCATGACCAACTATGACGTAGATGAAGAGTTCTTATACCGAACACACTGGAATCTATTGCTGAGATAGGACTCGAACTACCGCAGCACTGAGCTGCGCAGGCCGAATGGTACGTCAAGTTGGCGCAATCAAGTGGCGTGGTCGACCGTATCAATTGCCACTGCATAGAGAAAATCTGAAAACACTTTTAGCACGGCGGTTTCCGTTGAGTGGAGATGACTGAATGCAGACTGGAGACGAGGCATGAGACCGGACTGCTGAAGATGGATATTCAGCTGTCAGGCCACAACACATTCCAGGAGTTTCGTCAAAATTGACAGGTTAGAGATGAGTCGATATGACTTGGGATCAAAAGCGTCAAGGTCTGTTTTTTTCAATAGAGGCGCAATGTAAGCTGATCTCTGGAGTGCAAATTCTCTGGAACAACGCCGTCGGTGAGGCAGCAGTTGGAAAGTTTGAGCAGAAAGGTGTTAGGGTTAGGACATTCCCCTTAAGTAACGACGTCGGCATCGGATCGCTGGCGCACTGCTTGCTAGGCAGCGCGCACTGCAGCGATGACATCGTCAGCTGTGAAGCAAGTGAAATCTTGCACCACGTAGTCGAACGGGCATGGAGCAAATGTTGCCGATGGAGCATCGGTTGACGACGCTTCTGTGCCTTGCACAACAGAAATTTTGTTTCCCCAAAACCGCTTGGAATTCCTCCACGCTCGTTACCCGAAGCATCTCTGTGACCTGTTTCCATGAGTTTATCCACCGAAGACTACAGCGCTCGAGGGTCGCTGCGTTGCGCGTCGACTCTCAGCCGCCAAAATGACTCGCTTTAAGATTGAATAAGGTCGATATAATTGCTCCGCGCATCTCGCCAGGCGTAGGCCACAGCAGCTGCAGCAGCAGGATAGCCGCGTCTGTTCGCCCGATGGACAGCCCGCTGGAGCAGTCGAATCCCCAGCTTCGAGACTTGACATTCATCGTCGAACCATGGATCGGAGACTCGTTGGGGTATCCAAACTGTGCGTGTAGGAATGAGGTCATCGAGTGCACAGGTCAGCTCAGTATTGTAGATTTGCGCTAGATCGTTGACCGATAGCTTCAACCGTGAGTCTGGCCGACCTTGTCGGGTCGACTGCAGTTTTCTGGATACTCTCCAACCGGCGGATGCGCTGTCTCAACGCTGTCGAGACAGCGCCACGGACGGCAGGTAAGGGTTGGCAACGTCCCCTGATATGGTCGATGATTGGTTACTGAAATCTCGATGATGTCGACTGACTGAATTTGAAGGTCAGCACGCGTGACGACAACGTCCCAGTCCGCCCATGTCGTGCGTCGGCAAGGTCACGTGACAAACCATGTCAAAGGTGGCCAGAGGGGCGTTCAGCTGACGTGCTGATGAGTCTTCGACGCGATCCAGTCGAACGTTTGAATTGCCGGTGATAAGGACATGATAGATGAGGTCCCAAGTCTGCTGAAGAAATCGCTCAGTTCGACGAAAGAATCGCGCGCCACGGCAACCGATCCAGGACGTATAGATGGTGACTGCAACGCCCGTAAACGAGGCACAAGTGGCTCTAGCACATAACAGCTCGAAGGTTATGTGTTGAATGCCGATGTCACGAATGATAAGGTGCATGCCTCTGTTGGCGACGATATCTACTCCGCCGTAATTCATCGCTAGGGCATCGTGTTGCATGTGGGGCAGCGCGCTCGACTGCCTGTAGTCCTTCACGCGAAAACGCGCGATTCAAACCGTCAGCGTCGTGCCAGATCTCGGTCAGGAAGGCGACTTCAAATGAGCGCGAGCGAATGACATAAGAAACTTGTTATTCAGCGAACGTATGTTGAGGCAGCCGAACGATAACGGCAACACGGCTGCACACATTATTAGCGATCAACACGAACGCTAAGCAGGTTTTGAGGCCTATGGTTCCCCACATGCCGATGCTCAGCAGCAGCATGCGCAGACGTAGAGCTCGGCACAAATGATTGCAGCCGAAGCAACGGTCTATTGCCAGTGATAATGAGCACACCGTTGCCCCACACTGCTCGATAGGTGGCAGCATGACTCCTATTTCGGTCGGCACGGCATCCACGATAAGACAAGCGAGGCCTGGGGGACGTCATGATGAGTAAATCTGATCTCTCACAGACAGATGGATCAGGGAATGCAGCAGCTGACCGCAGTCGCTTCGCCGATCTAGTAAGCCAACGGCACCATGAAGAGCAGCCAGATTCAGCTTGCGTCATATAACAGTGTCGCTCGTTTAAAGTCAGCTCAAAGCTGAATATAGTGAACGCCAAAACGAATACTCATAATATAATCATCACAAAGTACTACTCATATGCACACTTTTACTAAACTTATATATGAACAGCAATAATTGGGAAAATTAAACGTGAACTTATTATAGAAGAACTTTTTCCTCGCAATGAGCGAATAGGTTAAGAAGTCATCGAGGCTTCGTGTTATTCTCGATTGTGCTTCATGTAAGATCTACGACAATCGAAGAACAAACGGTTTGGTCTCGTGCTAATTTCTTCATGCGTCTGCTGCCTTAAGCTTTAGTCCGGTTGTCTTTGGCTCACACCTCGAGCACCTCAAGTTCTAAAATAAAAGGTCGAGTCGTTTCTTGTCTATGTATTCAAAACTAGGAATGGGTTTATTTAACAGCCTTGCTTTGCAGAAAATATTCAAAGCGTATAAATTTCCGAAGTGCAAAACGCTTTCCATAATTTACTCGCGACCATCTCCGAAAGTTATGTATTTTTCAAGATCAACATGCAATTTTGTTTAAGTTCTTTGTTCCCATTCTATGATATAACTTAAACCTATTCATAAAATTTAACAGCCTTGGTGCACTGCCAATTCTAGCAAGGGACTGCTTTGGGTTTCAATAGAAGCAAGACGATTTTGGAGGAAAAATTTACTCGTGGTTATGAATTCACTTACTAGTTTTGCTGAATTAACTAATACAACCTCGCCTAGACGTAATCATCGCCTAGCAGACGATGATTACGTGAAAGGAAACATTCCAGAGATTTTTAAAATCATTTTGAAATATTAATTTTTACTATCAGATTAATGATAAAAATCAAGTTACTACAGAAGGTGTCATGAAAATACAATGCATTGTGACATGACTTTATGTGAAAGCGATCCTGCAAGTCTGTGTTAAGTTGCGTTCAAGGTCGACAAACGGCATCCCGAGGCGATCAACTGGCATTCTGGTTAAGGGGTCAGACTTGAGTATGCTTTTTGGTTGTCATATTTTCGGGGCAGGTTTTAACCGGTTACTCTCGATCTTGAGATTAGCTTAATATGCTGAACATTCTTTTCCTAAAATAGTTCTCATTTCCTAAAGTCATAAAATAGTTTAAAAGGCCTACAAGCAGAGGTGGGCAGTAGCGCGCTACATGTAGCGGCCGCTACATTTTCAGTAGCGGTAGCGGTAGCGGCTCTACATTTAAGACAATGTAGCGGTAGCGGTAGCAGCGCTGCATTTAAGCAATTGTAGCGGTAGCGGTAGCGCCCGCTACATTTAGAGCATGTAGCGGTAGCGGTAGCGGCCGCGACATTTCAAAGTAGCGCTGCCCAGCTCTGCGTACGACCTAATCACGGACATGCGTTCAATGATCTCTGTGAGACGACATGATTTGTACGAAAAATTTCGAGTTTATATATTTGCTAATATTTACATATTTGCATTGCAAGTTTTTCAAGTATAATGCAATTCCTACAGAATTGTTAAATTATCGGGGTAAGTATAAATATGAAACTACTAACTGCTGGAAATGAACTTAATTTGGAAACCTTTTCTCATGAGGAAATTACGTATGCATGAGTGTTGGATTGAAATTTAGTTTACAGTAAACGAGGAATATTTTATTCCAGCCTAGTATTTATTGACAACCTGCCAATCTCGTATTTTTTCCTCATTCGGTTCAAGTGCTGGATGAACGGCAAAGCACATTTCTCTATCTCTAGCGCATTTTCTCATTTATGGAAAAAATGCACTATTGTGCTCGCCATGTTCGTCTGTCTGTCTGTCCGTCCGTCTGTCCGTCCGTCCATCCGTGACCTCAAGTTTTCGTCGACGAGAAAATGCGCTCTCTGTCACTCACTGCAGTGAGTACTGAGTTATATTTTTTNCCTTCCTGACCACTCTGATTACAGAACTGATTGTGCAACCAAAATTTGTGCTCTCAAGTAATGATCAATGCAATAAAAATAATGCAAGGACACTGGCTAAAATAAATGGTTTGAAGAAGATAAGGGGTTCTTAAGATCTCGGCTCTTTATTCGCGCAAATTTTCATAAACCAATAAGATTTCGGGAAAAATACTTCAAAATAATATTTTTACCAAGAGATTACGCTTGATTATCATTAATATCAATAACTACGTTATAATATACGTTAGGAAGCAACATATTACAGCTACCACTTCGTGATGGGCAACGAGTTACATCAGCAGACGCCTATTTGATGCCGAACTTGCAGCGCCAAAACCTGAAACTGCAAATCAACTCGCAAGTGATCAAGGTGAGAATGTTCTCAGGTTTACTGCGTCCTTCAATAAGGAAACAAGCATTTCAAAGTCTAGGATACTTAATAAAAACACGTTCTCAAACGAAGGAGAAAAGGTCATCGTAGATTTACTTCGCTGAATGAAACAGGGAATATATTTTAAAAACTTATGGAAATGCTTTCGAACTTAGCATTCAGCAATTTCATATTGCTGTGAATATCTATACAAAAATCTATATGTTGTTACAGACGGAGAATATGTAACCAATAGGCAAATTTCAACATATACGAGGCATGATATAACGTATATACGTGCATGCATGTATTTCAAATATATTTAAAAGGAAATATTAGTGCCTAACAAATATTTATTCACTTGGAACCTAACTGCGCAAACTTGAAAAACACGCGACGGAAATTCAAGGTCACAGAGCGCACATATTCGTATTGCATGTGAGTAAAAAAAACTTATTGCCAGGTTTATCACTCCATGATGATTATTGGTTATCTCGAATACTTAATTAGATAGGATCCAGAAGATACCTTAATAACTGTCTGCAGAATGAAATATTGATCATCCAATGCAGACTACAGAAAAAAACTTCAAAATTTCTGAAGGATATCGTTATAAATGTGGAATAAAATATATTCATTAATGTTTTTTTAATATATATTATTAATAAAGCATTATATATTTTCAATGCTTCTATAATATTTAAAAGCACTCAAAATATTTTTAATGCTTTTTAATTTAACGCAAAGATTTATTTTTTCAGATCATCCTGAATGACGACAATGCTGCCATTGGAGTGCGATACGTTCATAGAAACAAGGCAAGTTGAGAATTAAGCGGTAGATCCAATTATAGTTCCAACTTGTGAGCAAAATTAGCTTACCAAATAAATAATTAACTCCCATAACAAGAATACAATTGCATGAAATTCTTTTGCATCAAATACTTAAAATATATATTTTATATTGACATTGAAGACTAGCTGGGAGCAATTTAAAGGATGAAGTAAAGACTATTACAGTTACAACGTCCATTAAACTTCAAAATACTTGCGTATTGGGAGAGAAAGGTACAGCTTAGTCTACACTGTACAACATAAATACCAGAAAATCAGTTACATAGTCCAATTGAGCGCAAAATAAATTCATTATTCTTCAATCTATAAGGTAGTGTAATGAGTATTTTTCATTTTTCAAATTCTATTTTCAGATGATTTTTCCGAAAAAAATAGACTGTGAAATAGACTTTTGATTCAGCAGCCGGACGAGTATTAAAAAAATTAAAGCCATGTTGAATTTCTTGCTTTCTTAACTGCAAATTTATTTTTTCTTCATTCGCAGCCTCAAATCATTTTCAAAAGCGTCTATTAAGAAATTAAAATTCGAATATCTGGTCATTTATTTGATGAATAGGTTACTTGAATATTTTCATAGCTCGTTAGAATTCTTGAGCAAGAAATTTTGGTAACGTTACCTGATTATGAACAGCTTTTTTCATTACCGAGTCATAATTACTTATCGCTTCCTGATCAGGTGAAGCGAGCGTTCGCGAGGCGAGAAGTGATAGTATCAGCAGGCGGCGCTGACGCTCCCAAGCTGCTCATGCTGTCGGGGATCGGACCACGGGAACAACTTGATAAACTCGGGGTGAGTGTCCCGCGTATATGTAGATAAAAGTTGAACGTCCCGCGTATATGTAGATAAAAGTTGAACGTATATGTACTTAAAAGTTAAACGTATATGTAGATAAAAGTTGAGCGTATATGTACGTACAAGTTAAGCGTATATGTACATACAAGTTAAACGTATATGTATTTACAAGTTAAGCGTATATGTACATACAAGTTAAACGTATATGTACGTACAAGTTAAACGTATATGTACTTACAAGTTAAACGTATATGTACATACAAGTTGAACGTATATGTACATACAAGTTAAACGTATATGTGCATACAAGTTAAACGTATATGTAGGTAAAAGTTGAACGTATATATACATACAAGTTAAACGTATATATACAAGTTAAAATGCTTGAAATGAGGGTGCATGATGATGAGTACCTTGTTGTTTACAGAGTAGAAACACTATACTTCACAAAATGAGTAAAAAGATTACTTGTAATTATAATTAAAATAATTACTATAATTGGAGATTATTATTCTATATTTTGATGAAACCTTAAAATACATTTATATTTCAGATCAAAACTAGTGTCGACTTACCTGGCGTTGGCCAGAATTATAAAGATCATGTTTTACTAGAAGGAATACATTGGACGATACACCCGAACATTTCGTCGTCCGTTCTATCCCTCCTCGGACCGTCAGCGTTGCTACGTTATCAGGAGAAGAGAGAAGGTGAGCTATTTTTTTCATTTTCAAAATTTGTTGATAATTTATACTCTTTTGTTAAAATAATTGGTTATAAGAAAACGCGACATAATGTACAATTATTCCTGCTCTGTTGGATTCAAGATTATTATGCAGAAAAAAACTGAAAAAATAAGGTTTGATTGGTACATTAAATGAATCTATCGCTATTTCAGTGGATTCTAAATTTTTAAAGTTGAATATGGCATCAAAATATTTTATCGTAAAACGATGTTTCTTTAACCAGTTCGCCAAGCAACAAATCTCCAAATTTCGTAGAAATATTACTGCAGAAAAAGAACTATGCTTGTTTTGTTTGATATTACTAAAGCTTTTCAAGCATTCAATAGCGCCGCAATACAGTGAGGTTAAATGATGACGAAGGACAAATACTAAATGATTTATTCCTTGAATTTGCTTCCAAACAGTGGCGTGTACACAAAAATTATCTGGTTAATAATAATTGACCTCGACCAAGAAGTGCTTATTGTTTTTGCCTGCTAACTTCATTATTAATTTTGTATTTCGAATAAATTTCCCTGTTAATTCGTTTTCAAACATCCAAACAAAGTACAAACAACCCTTTCTTCAAGGAAAGCTTACCTTGCTGCACCTCCGACCACGTATCTAGTTTCTTTACAAGCATTACTGACCGATGTGTCATTATTGTGTATATTTTGCGTCGTTTTGGATTGAAAAATTCGTAGAAATTTAAAAAAAAACGCCTTCATAACGCAAATATGCTCTCGATCATGCTCGATAATCTTCCTTGCTTTAATAATAATTGCATGCTCACCGAGCTGTATTTCACAGGAAAGAATTTTCGCAGGAATTTTATTCGTTTTTATTCACTTTCCTCATGTCTCACCAACTGAAATGTTCAATTAAATTCCGGGCTAAATACCCAAGTAAGTTTCTATGTATCTTCAGGCCCCATGACCGTTCCGCCTGGTATTGGTGCCTCGTATTTTATAAAAGTCGGTAATCCGGACGAGCCGACCGTTCCGGACATCCAAGTGCTGCTTGCATCGCAACTGGTCGGACAAGATTACGGCATTTTAACCTTGGGCAAGTTCAAACAATCAGTAAGTTCGTATACGGTGCCGCGGGCTAATTAAGAGGTACATGAAATTAACAGCTCTCTGAAATACATGAAATTATGAGTATTCTATGACACATTAGTCGTCACTCGGTAAATACTGCACTTAACTTATCGTTCCTTGATCAAAAAAGCTTATGAGGCTGAGCAGAATCATGATTTATGGTTTTCAATTAACGCATTTCAGCTGCATTGTTGTTTCTATCGTACGAGAAAATTGTGGTTTAGGTACGTTTTTAATAAAAACAGATCGATTTTATTGCAGGCGTTATATGTTGTGTTGACACAGCGTCTCGTCGTTAGACACCTCATCTTGACTGGAAAATGTCAGGCATGCTGATTCTCAATGCGCCTTGTTTGCATTTGAATGATGCTGTGCTTGACTATTCAGCATCTATTTTGTCCAGTTGACAATTTAAATATCATATCCTATCATATGATAGTGATGTTGACGCTGAAGAATAGGCCTGATGTGGCCTGTCGCCGATTCTTGTAATTTTCGTGACTTGTTCACAGTAGATCTAAAAACAGGCCTCTGACCGCATCTTTCGAACACTGACGATCGTTTGAAGACTTCTATCAGGTTCCACTACTAGACTTCTATCCGGTTCCACTAAACTTCCGTATTGCCTTCCTTTACGATGTATAAAATCTTTTCATACCCGTAACTTTTTCGTACATTAAATGTTTCAATTATACAACTTTCAGGATTCTTTAGTTTCTTCATATGCTCCCAGGTACAAGATTATTATAAGCCGACGCTAGGAAGAGATGGCTTCTCCATGAGTCCCGTACTTCTCAGACCCAAGAGCGTCGGGACGGTGACCCTCAAGTCCAAGAACCCCTTCGACCCGCCCGTCCTGGACCCCAACTGCCTCAGTCACCCCGACGACGTCGAGCTTTTGGTCAAGGGTGAGTCGCCGAACATTTATTTCAGTCACCCCCAAGTTCACTTTCACGATTGAATTGGATACGAAAGACATTAATTGAGTTGTTTAATAAATAAAAATTGATTTTATACAAAATATATCTTGAATGTTACCTACAACTAGCATAATAATTGTGTTGGCGAAATTCATGTCGAAAATATTACAAATTTAACTCAATTTCAAAATCTTTTCTTCTAGAAGTATATTTATTTATTTAACAATTCAAAGAATTTGGGGAATTGATCATGTTTCATTTTATTATCATAAGTGTCTAATTAATCAAATTCATATCTCTATGGTGACGAGTCAACATTGGTTCTTTTGCAGCTTCAAAAGCTTCAGTTCAGTTAGGCAATGCCAAGACATTCCGCAGGTCTCTCGGCGCTGAACCCATCAACAAGGTAAACATTTCCCAAAGCTGGAAAATCAAATTTGCTATAATTCATAAGACCGATATTATTAAAACAGGAACCAAGCTGCACGTCAGCAAACAGAACAATCACTGAAGAGCGTACATTCCGAGACTTTACGACTGATAAAAGTAAGGACAAAAGTATGACTGATAATTAAATAGTAGGGCCCATGGTATGGTAGCAAAAGCAAACTTCTTTTGTTTGCCTTCATAGCAGATTAGAACCGAATACTAAAACAATATTTTGATATTTCCTTTTGTGTATATAGCCCCGCTGATTGGTATGCTGCGTGTTGCTGCTCGTAATCGGTAGATAAATATTTATCATTTATATATGATTAAAATGTTTCATACTATCATGTGTTCTGAGCATTGATGTTTCAAGGAGACCAATAGGGCGGAATAGCGAGTAACACTAATCATTAGAATAAACAACCATTAGTTAGGTAATTACTTCCGAGCGACGTTGGGATGATATACCAGAATTACTTTTTTTTAAGGCCTCCCACACTCACCATTCCAACAAAAAAAAAGAATTGATTTTATTAATTAAAAACAGGGAATGGTTTCATGTCAATGATCAGGGCCCCGACCTTAACGCCTCTGATGGTGGCCTACACCGACTCCGAGGGTCACTGAGCTGTGACGCGAGCGAGGAGTGGGATTTTGGGCATATTCTTCTGTTTTCAATGAATTTTACTTTATTTGGCTCCCCTGAACAATTTAAAAATCCAAAAAAAGCCATCTTAAAAAATATAACTCCAACAGTTTTCAAGCTACGGCAATGAGAGACATACCATTCGGTTTGTAAAAACAATACCTAGCGACTCTAGAAGCATTTTTTTAATATGTGCATGGTTTGACTTATATAGGGGAGGGGATGGAAGATGGGGGGTAAAAATGTGAAAAAATGGGATTAACGCGAAAAAAACGATGAAGAAAATAAAAAATCGGGGCTCTTCAGTCGCTAGATATTGTTGTTACAAATCGAATGACATGTGTCTCGACATTGTAACAAGTAATTTGCAAAAGTTATAAAAAATTTTTAGAGTACCCCTTATATGCCGTTTTCTATTAATTCCATATTTTCTTTCATTTTTTTTTTAATTTACATGAACAAAAAGGTCTGAGATTTCTGTTTTACATATGTGTACCAAGTTTCAAAACGATCCGTCTGTAAACAAAAAAGTTTTGTTGGAGGGTAGCCGGTCCCCTTATGTAAAATCTAAAGGCTTTATCTATAAATGTAGCGGTAGCGCTGTAGCGGCAATTCCTCGTATCGCTACTTAAATATGTAGCGGGCGCTACCGCTACCGCTACATTGCCTTAAATGTAGAGCCGCTACCGCTACCGCTACTGAAAATGTAGCGGCCGCTAGTAGCGGCCGCTACATGTAGCGCGCTACTGCCCACCTCTGGCGACATGTATTCTTTATCGTTGCATTGACGAAATGTATTACATATAAATTGAGATAATAGGTGATTGCGAACTAAAGAAAATCTTATATTACAATATATGATTTTCTATATCTGCTATTAACAATTCTAATCGATTTTACATACCATAATTTTTATTTGTATGGTGAGGCGTTGAACTCGGAGAGACTGCGCACTTTGGGTACCACGGGCAATCAAAACTCACGATGAGTTGTCCGTAGACTATATTCATTAGTTGCGAAGTCTTGATCATAGAGCATGAGGCACGCATCAGAGTATAAGAGTAACATATCTAAACTGGCACTTCAAACATATGACATTTGATTTCATAACATAGAAATGCGTGGAACACTATTAATTATTCTATTGAATTATATAACAGCCTTACAAGCTCCTAATAATTGCAGTTAAATGGAAGCTTAATCCAGCAAACAGTTGCAGCTTCTTCAAAAAATCGCATGAGATTGAAGTAGCTGAAAATTACCAGCCTCTCTTAATTGTCGATACAAGTCAGCTTGATGTCAGAATTTAGGTGTTGTATATGACGCCAGTAAATAATAACAGGCGAGACACATTGTTCTTATGTAAGCATTTACTGTTAGGCGTATAATTTTTCTGTTCTCTGTGGCAGCCGCTGAGCGTTCGTAGTGTTGCTGTAGATGAGGTGATACAACAGTCGGACTGGTGATGTCACTAATTCAGTTATGCTTGTAAAAATGTCTATGTCGGACATGCTCAGTAATAGCGGGCTTGAATTTATTTCCATACCTCCGTCGAACGCAATTTGGTGTTAATGTTGGAAGTACTTGTAAACCCTGAATTATCCCGTGGATAATCGGGAATGAATTGAAAGTATATTTAGATTTCAGTCTATGAATTGGGATGGCACAGTAAGAGATTCATAATACAAGGAATTGAAAATCAATTGTTTTTATTTTGCTTCAAAATATTTATTATATAATGATTAATAATCATATTAGACGGACGGAATTTTTACATAGGTTTACTCATGGTCGTATTGAAATTTCTCATTTATTTGATATAAAATTTCTCCCACTCAATAGTGTAAGATAGCCTTAAACTGAAGTAAAACGATTTAGGGTAACTTGTCTTGACTAACATGCATCATTTCTGCCTCCTTTACCCCAAATTATTACTAAAATGAATTTTAGGTTAGAAGAATCATAAAAAAATAATTCTGTTTGATCCGTAGAGGCTGGTTCTCCAAGAGTTTCCCTAATTTAGAGTAATTAGAAGCTCTATGTTCCCTATCTTCCAGACTGTAGATTGATATTTTTAGTTACAAAGTACGCTACCATTTCAGGTTTATTTCATTAACATTATAATAATATCGTTTAAGAAAGTACTAAAATTAATCTTTTTGTTCAGCGAATGTATATGTGTAACATTCAATAACTCAAATATTTATATTGTTTTTACCGACTTAATCAATCTATAGTTAATAAATCGCTGACTTTATATACATTATTGTTTTCGACTGACAATTTGGTTACCTATGAAATACAATTTCTGTCAAAAAAAATGAAGTTTTGTTTATGTAATTTGTATTTGTAATTCATCACGTCAATAACTTATTACACGAACTAATAAACTGTATCAATATTGTCTGTACGCAAGACAATCGCGATATCGAACTCAGTTGATGTATACCATATAGCTCCTAACACCATGAATAACTCAGTTAAACCTGAAATCGTACCCTAACTTTCCGACTTCAACTCATGTGCTCAGTAGTTATATTGATGAACCTGCAAACTGATTCGTTCTTGAATGATATATAGTTGATAATAGTTTTTAAATAACCAGTTACGTAGAGAGACTTGTAATAAAGCGTTGAACTTGAAAAGAAGCGTTTGTGCAATATAAGAAGAAGTCTCATTGTTAGACATCGACTTAATTTTTTCAGTTGAGAGCTCGTGCTTCTAGAGCACGTGGCAACTTACAATACCGGGGGAACATATCGGTCATTTGATTTGCTAACGATGTAACACGGAAACTATTTAAGAGTTTACAGAGCCCGGAAGAATTGCAGGTAAATGCAAGCGTAATTCAGCACCCAGTTCTGCTTCGTCAGAAATTATTTTGAGGTTGAAGTAATTGTAAACTTCCAATATTGTCGCTACGAGTCAGTTCGACCTTGTGATACAGATGGTGTATATAACATCATGAAATAACAACGAATGAGGCATATGAAGCTCCTCAATACATTGATTTTTATATG